ACATTTATTGTAGATTCTGGATATTAGACCTTCAAAGATGCATATCTCACAAATATTTTCTTCCATTCTGTAGGTTGTTTTTTCACTCTATTGATAGTTTCTTTAGCTATGCAGAAGTTCTTAAGTTTAATTAGATCCCATTTGTTAATTTTTGATTTTGTTGCAATTGCTTTTGGTATCTTTGTCATGAAATCTTTGCCAATTCCTATGTTCAGAATGGTCTTGCCTAGTTATCTTCCAGAGATTTTATAGTTTGGGATTTTACGTTTATATCTTTAATCCATCTTGAGTTAATTTTTATATATGGCGTAAGGAAAGGGCCTATTTTCAGTCTTCTGCATATGGGTAGCCACTTATCCCAGTACCATTTATTGAATAGGGAGTCCTTTCTCTATTGCTTGTTTTTGTCAACTTTGTCAAAGATGACATGGTTGTACGTGTGCAGCCTTTTTTTTGGGCTCTCTATTCTGTTCTGTTGGGCTACATGTCTGTTTTTGCACCAGTACCATGCTGTTTTGGTTACTGTAGCCCTGTAGTACAGTTTGAAGTCAGGTAACATGGTGCCTCCAGGGTTCTTCTTTATGCTTAGGATTGCCTTGGCTATTCAGGCTCCTTTTTGGTTCCATATGAATTTTAAGATTTTTTTTCTAGTTCTGTGAATAATGTCATTTGTAATTTGATAGGAATAGCCTTATATCTGTAAATTGTTTTGCACAGTATGGTGATTTTAATGATACTGATTCTTCCTATAATGGAGAGCATGGAATGTTTTTCATTTGTGTCATCTCTGATTTCTTTGAGCAGTGCTTTGTAATTTTGCTCAAAAGGGATTTTTATCTAAAACCAAATGCAATTTAACTGAAAAGTTAACTGCTGTTTACTTAATCTCAAGCCTTTTTTTCTTAACCCAGTATATAAGAGACTAGCTATTATCATAAACTCATAATGCTTAGTAACAAAAAGCCATTATAATGAATTATTCACTTTATTATATTAAAAGCTGGGGTTTTATTGCCATAATTTTCAGTTGGATAGCCTAAGATAATGCCACCTATTTTTTTAGATCTTCAATAAGTTATGGCTATGAGAAGTGATTGATGATTTGGGGAACTAATGATTTTGGTGGGAGAATTGTGCACTTCTTCCCATAGTAGCAGTGTTAGTAAATGATGGGGGTTTATAATGGACAATTAGGGAGTATATGATTTCATACTTCTGAGCCTTTTCTGTTGTAATTTATTCTTGTAAGTATTCATCGATAATTTCAAGTATAAAATTAATGGAAGCTAGGTAGAAAAGTCTTACTCAAGCAATAGGCCAGAGGCAGGCAATGGTGGTAGTTAACTATTAGGACTGCGTCTTTGATAGGAAATTAATCCAAGGAGATCAATTTCCAACAGGAGAAAGAGTCCAAAGGTAGTGAGAAATAAAACAACTTTATATGAATGTTTAAAAGATTAACATGTCTCTCTATTTCCCAAAGCCAGTGCTAAAAGTCTACCAAGATCATAAGCAGCCAGAATACATACATGAACAGAACCGATTTCAGTTAATGGCTGCCGGAATCCTTAAACCTCCAGTAAGCATAGCAAAAAAAAGTTTTGTCACATCATCTACTCAGATTCTTGAGCATCAAGATGCTGTGAAAAAAATACAGGTATAATATTAAACTACTTAATTGATTCTTTTAACTTAATTTGGTTTTGTATAGATTTGCTAACATGCTTTTAACTCATAAGAATAGAAGCAAAGTCATTTTCTATAAGGTTGCATAATGAGTTTGGGAAATACAATATTTCTTCATTCTTCCTGTTTAAGGAAAATTCTTACAATGGAAGAAAATCATAAAGGAAACTTTCAGCAACTGTATGGTGCCTTCTGACCTTCTCTTACATGGTAAAGAAGACATAATGGTATTTTGAATGTTATTATAACTTTTTTGAAATTTTCATCATTTTTACCAAAACTGGTAATCTTTGAAGACCCTGGTGAAGGGCAATAAAATGGAGATGAAGCCAGCTAGAAAGACAATTTGTGTAGCTGGTGAGAGTTGTAGAGTGGGGAAGTTGCCTTGAAAGGCATAAAGAAATGGTAGCTCGGGGAAGAAATCACCAGAGCTTGCCTTTAAATGAATATCTCTAGATAATTAAAGAAAAAAAAAAAAAAACAGTAAGGGGAGAAAATGTGAAAGGCATACCTGCAGTAAAGATACCAGTAGAGCCAAGATTTCTCTGAGCTTTTGGTTGAGAGGGTAACTTTGACAGTCACACATTTGAGTGCTGATTTGGGTCCAAGCATTGGATTAGAACTGCCAGACGTGCACAGTTGAGGACAAGATCTGTCCTCAGGGATTTCAGAGTCTAGAGGTAGGTAGGTGGACAAATGAACACTCAACACAGTGGGGTATAAGAGCTCTCCTTGGTTGTTTAAGGTACAAAATAATGAAAAACTAAATAAAAGGGACTCTTACACCTGGCCGTTGGTGGGCCAGTCAGTGAATAAAAAGCCACCTTTGGGAGTTGCACTAAGCTGAGAAGAATGAGTGGAAAGTTAATGGGATAGATAAGATGAGAGAGATTGGAGCTCGAGGAGAAAATAGATGGGCAGGAGCTTACTTTGGGTTTGGGTGAGATCATCCTGAAAGAATGAAATCATATGATGAACTAGATGGAACTATAAAGCCTCAGTTACTATGGTGTCTGTGAAGGGGAGCCAGAGGGAGCTCTTTCTCCAGAAAAGATCTGAGCCAGGAAAGATGTAATTGCCTGTAAATTAATTCATTTGGCATAAAGAGTGCTTCAAAAATTTGAATTTAAAGAAAAGGAGAGAATATGTGTAGACATCTGGGATAAAAGTGGGGCTGAAAAGGAATCTCAGGTTGTGAGCTGTGCTTCCTGGTTGTAGCTGTCACTCAGTAAAGAGTTAGGAATTAAAGAGAGATATGGAAAAGGGGATGTGTTACATAAAATAAGAAAGGTATTTATTCTGAGAAAAAGGTAATTTTTTTCAGAAATTGATTTATCAGAATGAGTTTCAAATAGAAATGCAACAAGGAGGATTTCCTGGGAGATAAAGGAAGGCAGGCAGGAAAGGAAGTTGGAGGCCTCTGTTAATTAAGGAAGAAATTGACTTATCAAATTGGACTGAGCATCCATCAGAGAAGAGTACTACATTGTACAGTTTATGAATAAATGCTTTCTTTATTTCCCACCCCCAAATCTGAACCTATGTTACTGCTGAAGACATAAATCACATTTTCCCACTGAGTTACATAATGAGAAATTAGGGCTCAGAGGAAAATATGTAACCCTGTTATGGAAGAAGTCTTCCACTTAGAATGCGATAAGACTTTTTAAAGATTAGAACAAATAAAATAAATACATTTTTCTGTTAAAACAGTAACACTTTAGTCTCATAAAAATACTAAAGTGGACTAGCCCTTGTTGAAACATTGAGATAAGGTGATGTGTGTTTTCTCTGGTTCAGGTTTGGCCTATTCATTCTTAGAAGAGAACAGTGTTATTGCTGTCGTCCCTGGCAAGAAGTCAAAGACACACATTTTACCTTTTAAGTTCAAAGATGTGTTTCCTTCAGCTCTGAACTTGTTAGGCTTCTGTCAAACTGCTATTGAACAGGGTATATTTAATCAGAGTTGGGGTATAATGTTCCCTGTGAGTACAAATTTTCTGGAGAAGTCATTCCACAGAGCTTGTAGTAATAAATCCCTGCAGAAATGGCAGCCTCTGCCAGCTATGTTAATAGGCAATAAAATACTCATGCGTATATTTACAGTAGTTATTCAACAAAGCAGGTCTACTATGGTGACTCTTATCTTAAAGCCAGTTACTCCTATATGGTCAGAGAGGCAAGGTGATGACCTTTGGAGTTAGTGTCAAATTTCTTCAAACACAGTGATCAACCTCCTCCACGGGAGGAACAGATGTGGGTGATGCCACCTAAGTTTTTTGGGGGATGTGAGTGGCACTGAGAGCACAGACAGTGAAGCCCAGAGAGTAGAGCAAAGCTGGAGTGTGTAGGCATGGCACGGTGGGTGGGACTCAGCCTTGCTGCTCCAAGTGTAGTCCATGGTTAGCAGGATCCAAACCCCTGACAGCAGATTAGAAAGGCAGAATCTCAGGTTCCACCCTAGTTGTACTGAATTAAAATCTGCATTTTAGTAAGAACCCCAGGTAATTCACTGCACATTTAAAGTTTGAGAAGCACTGGCCTAAAGAACAGGCAATATTAGTTGATAAAATCAGTGCTTCTCTAAGGCTATTGCATAGTGATTCTCAATACTCAATATAACCACCCCTCATATTCACAAAGAAGTAAAGTTATTATGAGTTATGATAGCAGCTGTCCAATACTTCACTCACTGAAGAGCATCAAGGCGGTCAGAACAGAGGGGGAGGTTGGGAGGAGAGGCCCTAGAAAAGATAGATGCAGAGCAACTAAGCAAGGAGGGAAGAGGGTTCCCATGGACATCAAAGACCTGGTAATATTTTGATACAATAAACATTGAGTTAAAGGAGAGGAGAAGGCAATGGAAGCTGAAACTGGGACTGCTTTGTGGAAAAAGAATGGGTGTCTGGATAGGGAGTCCTGAGAAGGAATATGACTGCCTAACAATAGTTTGAAAATTTTCAGTGCCAAAATGCTTGCCTTTGAGCTCTAGACATCTCATGCAATATGGCAATTAGTCCTTGAAGGTAATATTTTGTCACTCTTGTGTGTGTGCAAAGACTCATTTTTTGTTTTTCAAAAATTGGCTTTGTTTAGATTCATCAGCCCTATGTTGAAGTGTTCTCTCCCTCTCCTCCTAAACTGCCACGTACCAGTACTGGAAAAAGAGGTCTCTTCGGGACTAGGTCTTCAGCTTACCCTAAGTACACTTTCCACGACCGAGAAGAAGTAGTTAAAGCCAACATTCGTGATCCCTTGCAAATCATTAAAATAATACGTGAAAATGAACATCTTGGATTTCTTTATATGATCCCTGCAGTGCCAAGATCATCCATTGAATATGATACATATAATCTAAAGTGAGTTCTTTTTTATGATGCAATTTCTTTAACATAAAAATTACAAATAAGATTGCACATATTATTCATAATTGATTGGATATTAATGATAGTGATATCAAATATAATTTTGGTTATTCAATGATAAATGAATCCTAATCACAATAATTTTATATTTTTTCATGTATTTCCCTTTATCTATTTAGAAATATTATCTATCTTATCTGCACTATTGAGCTTCTCGTATATTTATGTAACATTATGCCATATATTTTTAATCAGTATTACAAATGTATTTTTGATATTTTATGATTACTGAGGAAAGAGGGTGACAATATATAAAAAGTAGATGACGCACGATTTGTTTTTCATGTTATTTCATCTTTGCTTTATAGAGTAGAAATAAGGATTGTTTAATAAAATGAGCTTGATAACTTAGGGATTCATATAGATGAATAATATACACACACTTACTTTCTCTCTGTTGTTGCCACACATTTGTTGTTGATATAATTGAAAGTCACATAATTGTGAGTCTGAAAGTTGCTTTAAAATACAGCACAACAGATAATAGTAGAACTTAAAGATGATACTGGCTTTCCTCTGTTATTTAGTTGGGCTGACAGCGGTTCTTGAGACAGTCTTTTCTTGATGGTGATAATAGTTTAGCTTCACCACCAAATTCATTGAGCTACCTTCCCCATTCACGGCTCTCTTACTCTCCCTTATTCGGCACCGTAGTTTCAATTGAGAAGGTGACACTGAGGACAGCTCTCCTGCTGCAGAAAATGAGTAGAGAAGAAAAACTTTTTAATCAAAATTTAAAATGACAAATTTGTTGTAAATCTTAAAGAGCTTAACAGGAGTGAGCAATAACTTGTAGGAAGAACAGAAATGCTTATGAAAATGCAATCGTTCAGCAAAATTTGTTGAGCATGATCTCTGTAGCAGGAACTGTTTTACGTGCTTGAGACACATTAGTAAATCATATCAAAATTGTTGCCCTCATGGAACTAACATTTTAGCAGAGGATGGCAGTAATAAACCATACGTGAGTAAATTATGTAGAATACTAAAATGTGATAAGCATTGGAGGAAAAAAATATATTTTTATGCCGTAGATACTCAGGCGAGAAAGAGATCGGGGATGATGATGAAGTGGTAAGAAATAGGTCTGCTTCTGAAAACAATTTGAAGGTGAAGCCA